AGGACACATATGTAATACCCTTTGTAATACTTTAAGCAATAAAAAAAAAATAGCCTGCTATATTTGGTCAAACGTTTAATGAACTCACCCTTAATGCCTTGGCAGGGCCAGACGAAATGATTTTGAAGGCCTAATATGGCCTGTGGGCCGGATGTTCCCCACCTATGCTATAGGGTATAATGTGAGAGCATGAAGGAGGTCTCACCATATCAAAATATCGCTGACGACCATCATGGAGCCTAAAGTTCTGCCACAAGTGACTTCTTTGCCTTTGAAGGAATTTCAGTCTCTGAGAGGCCTATATTAAAATATAACTATTTTTAGGAGGGAAATCCTCTAACAATTTGTCAATTATCAAAATATTAGGAAGGTTTAAGGGTATAAGTCTAAAAGAATATAGAATAGATATCTGGGGATAACAGGGAGTAAAAAGGATCCTAAAAAGCTTGGGCCTACTTTTTCCTACTATTTTGTAGAGCAGGTTCTGTATGTAAAGATTTGTGAGCTTGTTTTCCAATTATAAGCATTTTTAAATAGTTATTCGCCTCCAAGGTAGAAGTTAAATGCCAGAAAGAAAAACAAAGATTGATGAAAGAATAAAAGAAGACATGCTAAAGAATATTGTTCATACACATTCAGGAGTATGCAGTTTGCTATATTGATTAAATGGTAAGAGTTTTCAAACTGGAGAGAACTATAATCTAGTACAACTCTGTGGTCTTAGATATGAGTAACTTGACACCTAGAGAGATTGGGTGTCTTGAAATGCTATTAATTCAGTGATGGTCACTAAACATTTGGGAAGATTAAGAAATAGTCTTTGGAAGTTCAGGTATAATTTTAATTAAGTGAAATAAATTGCTTTTAGTTTTGACATTTGTTGTAGTACTAGTAGGATTCCATGTGAAAATCCCAAGTGGTCTAGAGTTTTATTTTAATGCAAATCAGGGAGTTTTTTCCTAAAGCTAGAGGACAAGGTTTAATGATGAGGTTATGTCTAATGCCTGTCAAGATTTGGCATTGTCTCTTTCAACCATGGCAATATATGGACTAATTTCAGTTCTACACAATACAATAGGGAAATCTATTTGCTTGGGGGAGGAGGAATCACTTAAAAATTAACATGTAAACCAAGAAATAGATCACTAAATAGAAATACAGGGCCAAATGACAGTACTTATTACTGGGAAAGATAGGAAAATTATGAAGAAATCAACCATTTTATCTCTAGAAAGGTGCTTAAAAACAATAGAAAGTAATATAAAATTGAAACTGTAAATTAATGTTATAGTCTATATCATTTTTAAAGTGAGATGTGCTTTTCCAGCTGAATTTTCTCATTCAGACAGAATATTGCTGATTTTCATTCTGATTGTTTGTGTTCGCTTGGCAGAATTCTCACTATTCATTAATGTTCTGGTTATTTCTTATCAGCTGTCCCAGTTTTGTCCTTCTGATCAAGTAATTCTGATTGCACAGAAAACATGTTTACTGATGGCAGCTTCAGTTGATCTAGAGCAAGGGAGAAAAGCTTCAACAGCTTTTGAACAGGTAATGTGCAACCTTCAAATAAAACACAAGATTTCAGTGTGCTATTTGGTATGTCTGCCTTCCCTGATGCAGTCCTTTTCTTATTTTATTTTTTTTAAAGAATTATTTCCTTCCTTCCAGCAGCATCTAAAGCAGGGGTGGGCAAACTTTTTGACTCGAGGGCCATAATGGGTTCTTAAACTGGACTGGTGGGCCGGAACAAAAGCATGGATGGAGTGTTTGTGTGAACTAATATAAATTCAAAGTAAACATCATTACATAAAAGGGTACAGTCTTTTTTTTTTTTAGTTTTAGTCATTTCAAACGGGCCGGATCCGGCCTGCGGGCCGTAGTTTGCCCACGGCTGATCTAAAGGTTACCTTTGGCTTGGCATCTTTTTAAAAGATTGAATGTCACTTCTTTTAAAAAGTCCCTTGAAATAGACCACTCTTTCCAAATCTGTTTTTTAAATATTCTTTAATTTCATCGTCTCCCTGTGATCATATGTGGTCCATAGGAGTTTTTTCTCTTTTGTTTCCTTTCACATATTCTTTAAGGAAGAACTTCTCTACTTCTACAGCTTTGATAAGCCATCTGAAATTATTTATGTGGCTTGTTGTTCTTTGCTCAATTGCATTTGCTTTCTTTGGCCCATGTCCTTAAATATTTTATTATCAACTCAATTTTAACAAGAAGACAGAATTCCTACCTTTGCCTAAATTATCTCCTTTTTTTTCTTTTACCTAGGCAAAAACAACAAAAAGTCTTCCCAATTTCTCATATTTGCCAGCTTCTTTTCTTTCCAATGGATATAAATCCTTCTTGCCTGGTTATTCTTTTTGATTAATCTCTTTTTTCATATATGATTCTTCAGATCTGGAACAAACTCTCACAGATTTCTGGTGACACATTTTCCTTCCTTTCTCTTCCCTTGTTGAGAACAACTCAAAAAACATTTGAGGCCGAATCGGTTTGGTTCAGTGGATAGAGCGTCGGCCTGCGGACTCAGGGGTCCCGGGTTCGATTCCGGTCAAGGGCATGTGCCTTGGTTGCGGGCACGTCCCCACTGGGGGGCGTGCAGGAGGCAGCTGATCGATCTCTCTCATCGATGTTTCTGGCTTTCTATCCCTCTCCCTTCTTCTCTGTGGAAGATCAATGGAATGTATTTAAAAAAAAAAACATTTGAGTACCAACACTCTGCTAAATACTGGGAATAAAGAAGACAGAGCTCTTATCCCTGAGGAGTAAAACATCCCCTTTTTAGAAACCTTTCCATTATAAAAGATGAGAAAAGAATCTATGTGCCCCAGAGCAAAACAAAAAAATAACAATTTTGCTTCTTAACAAGTGAGGGCAAATGTAATTTTATTCTCAATAAGATTTTTATGCTTTACTAAAAAATAGTAATAACATATTGTTTTTGCATAGTGCTTTTAACTTTTTTAAAGTTTTCCTTTTAAGTTGGTAGTCCCGATATTATTAAATTTTGTATCTCAGTGAATGGAGATCAAATTGACGTGAGGGAAATTTCAAAATCTTAAGTACAAACTCTTAATTATTTTGTTTGTTTCTAACAACTGTTCTTTTTTTTCTGTTCTTTCTCTTGCACACCCTAATATTTCCTAAGAACTATCTTAGTAACCCTTATATAATTTCCTTTCCTTTGAAAGGATTTCTGTTTAGGTAATTGAAGATGCACTTCTGCCTTTCACCATCTAAGTTCAGTCTGTATGAATGATGCTCTGTCTTTCTAATGAGGATTTGTTGGATTCTACTAAATACATCAGTTCCTTGTTCTGTAAATCCTCTTAATGTGGAATATTTCCAGATAAATAGATGATAAAGGACTGTAGCTATCCTCTATAATCTTATCAACATTATCTCTGATCTCCTGAGTATTAGTTAGGAGGAAGTGAGAGATGCTTTAAAAAATACAGTAATTGTAATTTATCAAGAAACCACATCTTTTACCTATAATAGGGGCAGATAAACTACTGCTAACTGGCCAAATCAGGCCTACAGTCTGTTTTTCTATACCCTCAGAGTTAAGAATGGTTTTTACATTTGTAAAAGATTGTAAATGAAAATATAGGACAATATGTGAAAGAGAGTTTATGTGTCTGACAAAGCCTAAAATATTTACTCTGTGGCCTTTTACAGAAAAGTATCCTGATCCATGTCCTAGATTATTTTTAACAGACTTATTGAGGTATAATTCACATACCTTATAATTTACCCATTTATAATATACAATTTTATGATTTTTAGAATATTCAGAGTTGTACAACTATCAACACAATCTCATTTTAGAACTTGTTCCTCACTCTAAAAATCCCTTGCCAATTAGCAGTGACTTTCCATCCCTACTACCAGCCCTAGGCAACCACTCATCTCCTTTCTGTCTCTATAGATTTTCCTATTCTAGATATTTCATGTAAATGTCATTATACTATTTATAGTCTTTTATAACTAGATCCTTTTATTTTTATTTTTTTGGCTGGGTACAGTGAACTTTATTGATGGTGCATGGCAAAGTAGGGCTCCCTACGCCCCTCCCCTTCTTCAGGGGGTCTGGGATGGAAACGGTGGTCAGGAGATTCTCAATGTGTCAGGGGATCGATCTGGGACAAGGACTCCCCAGCAGCTGAGGGCCTCTCTTCCTCTTGCTGGGGCTGGTGATCCAAGGGACTCTTACTCCTTGGAGGCCATTTGAACCATAAGGTCCACCACCCTGTTGCTGTAGCCAAATTCATTGTCATACCAGGAAACGAGCTTGACAGAGTGGTCACTGAGGGCAATGCCAGCCCCAACATCAAAAGTGGAGGAGTGGGTATCACTGTTAAAGTTGCAGGTGACAACCTCGTCCTCAGTATAGCCTAGGATGCCCTTGAGGGGGCCCTCTAATGCCTGTTTCACTACCTTCTTGATATCATCGTATTTGGCAGCTTTCTCCAGGCCGCATGTCCGATCCACAACTGACACATTGGGGATGGGGACACGGAAGACCATGCCAGTGAGCTTCCCATTCAGCTCAGGGGTGACCTTGCCCACAGCCTTGGCAGCGCCAGTAGAAGCAGGGATGATGTTCTGGGCAGCCCCTCAGCCATCATACCACAGCTTCCCAGAGGAGCCATCCATGGTCTTCTGGGTGGCAGTCATGGCATGGACTGGTCATGAGTCCCTCCGTGATGCCAAAGTTGTCATGGATGACCTTGGCCAGGGGGGCCAAGCATTTGGTGGTGCAGGAGGCATTGGTGACGCTCTTGAGGGAGTTGTCATACTTGTCATGGTTCACACCCATCACAAACATGGGGGCATCCGCAGAAGGGGCAGAGATGATGACTCTCTTGGCTCTGCCCTTCAAGTGAGCCCCAGCCTACTCCATGGTAGTGAAGACACAGGTGGACTCCACAACATACTCAGCACCAGCATCACCCCGTTTGATGTTGGCGGGATCTCGCTCCTGGAAGATGGAGATGGACTTTCCATTGACGACAAGCTTCCCATTCTCAGCCTTGACTGTGCCTTTGAACTTGCCATGAGTAGAGTCATACTGGAACATGTAGACCATGTAGTTTAGGTCAATGAAGGGGTCATTGATGGTGACAATATCCACTTTGCCAGAGTTAAAAGCAGCCCTGGTGACCAGGCGCCCAATGTGGCCAAATGCGTTCACTCCGACCTTCACCATCGTGTCTCAGGGTTGTGGCTGCTGGCACAGCTCAGGAAGAGAGGTTTTCTGATGAACAGGAGGAGCAGAGAGCCTATAATTTTTCAATAATTTTTGTTAGGTTCTCCATGTTGTAGCTTGTACCAATACTTCATTCCTTGTTATGGCTAAATAATATTCCATTGTATGAATATACCACATTTTGTTTATCCATTCACCCATTGATGGATATTGGGGTTTTTCCAATTTTCAGATATAATGAACAATGCTGCATGTCCAAAGTTTTTGTGGATATGTGTTTTCATTTCTCTTGAGTATATACATACAAGTGGAATTGCTGGGCCATATGGTAACTTTATGTTTAAATCATTTGAGGAACTACCAGACCATTTTCCAAAGCAGCTGCACCATTTTACATTCCCAGCAGCAATAGATGGTGATTCCACTTTCTTCACCTCCTTACCACCACTTCCTATTATGTCCTTTGGATTATGGCCATCCTAGTGAGTATGAAGTGCTCTCTCATTACAGTTTTGATATGCATTTCCCTAATGACTAATCATGTCATTACTAATGACTAATGACAAAAGGTGTTGAGCATCTTTTCATGTGCTTATTTGCCATTTATATGCCTTCTTTGGAAAATGATTATTCAGATTTTTTTACTGTTTTAATAAGGTTATTTGTCTTTTTATTATTGAATTTTAATAGTTCTTTGTATATTGATGCTAGGCACTTATCAGATATAATTTATAATTATTCTCTCCCATTATGTGGTTCCATTTCCCTTTATTGCTAGTACCCCTTGAAGCACAAACATTTTTATTTATTTTTTCTTTTTTTAAAACCACTTTATTAAGGTATGGTTTAACATATAAAACACTGTACACATTTAATGAATACAACTCCATGAGTTTAGGGATAAGTATACACCCATGACACCATCACCACCATTAAGGCCATAAATATATCCATCATCTCCCAGTTTTTTCCCATCCTTATAATTATTATTACTATTATTATTTGTGTGTCTATGTGTTAAGAACACTTAACATAAGATCTAACCCAAGCAAATTTTAAGTATATAATATAGGCACTGTGCTTAATAGTAGCACTAACCATTTTTATTCTTTTTAAAATTTTTATCTTTATTGTTGAAAGTATTATAGATGTCCCCTTTCATTCCCATTGACCCCTTCTAGTCCACACTCACACCCCATCCCAGGCCTTCACCACCTACTGTCTGTGTCCATGGGTTATGCATATATGCATACAAGTTCTTTGGTTGATCTCTTCCCATCCATTCGTCCTCCCCCACCTTCTCTCTGAGATTCCACAGTCTGTTCCATGT